CCACAACGATCGGCGCTGCCCGAGGCAGAGTAAGGTACAGGGGACAGAACGCCCTGTTCTTCCAACCGTTGAAGTTCAGCATCTACCAGTGGGAGGGAAGCGTACGGAACTGGTCTCTTTGGACGGAAGACTGGCATAGCTCCAGGCACGAGGTGGAGGACTGCTTGTGTCGCAGTGCACTGACCGAGACCGGACTGGAAAACAATTGGAAATCGCTCCATAATGTCGGATGCATGATCTGGATGCGCTGTAGGAGACTGAACTGCATTGCAAACGGCGCTGATTGGAATGTCGGCTAACCCAAGGCGATCGAACCAATCAAGACCCAATAGGTTCAACTCAGTTGCCGTTATATAACACGACCCCACGAATGTAGTTCCTCGAAAAGATACACAGCACTGGAGCTCACCGGAAAGTTTTAACTCTCCACCGCAGGCACTGGTTGCAGTTCGAGCTGCTTGTCTGATCGGAGGTTGTCCGAGCGTGCGCCAAAGCCTCTCCGAAATGATGGTAATGTCCGACGCAGTGTCCAGCTGCAGACGGATTGGATGACCATTTACGGTGACTGTCAGATACTTTCGGTTACCTGGCGTGTTGATCTGGAAAGTAGCCAGCAAACTGAGAGAGGAGCCAACGGGGTTCGATTTCGGTTTGGGACGGATGCGTGATGATTGCTTTGAAACAGCAGAGGCCGTATGCATCCGTGACTGACAATATCCATCTTTGTGTCCCACGGACTTACATTGGCGGCACCGATGCTTCTTGTAAGGACAGAACCTGACGAAGTGCCAGGCTCCACAGTGCCAACATTGTGAAGGTGGTTTCTTCTTTGAGCCTTTGTTTTGCTTCGGACCAGAACACTGCGAGATCGGTTTGGTTGGGCCAGATTTGACAGGGCCAGGCTGTTGCGTATCCTGGTGTATTGCATGAACCTCGGGACCGCCATGACCCCCGAGTTGGACCATCGCGGTGTCATGCTTCAGGTTAAGCAATCGTTGACATTCCGAGGTGACGGCCTGCAGCGTCATGGATGGGTCCTGCTCGATGCGGCTGAGGAGTCGGGTACGGATTTCTGCATCCTTCGGGGATTGTAGACCACATATGAAAATCAGCGACTTGAACTGATCTTCCGTTAACGATCCGAGTTTGAACCGTTCGCATTCTCGGTTCACGATGCCAGAATATGTGAGGAAGTCGTCTGCATCAATCTTCACTAGCTTCATGCATCGATAACGGATGTTAAAAAGTGACGTTTGCTCACCGAATATTTGTGAAAGCGTGTTGACCGTTTCATCAAAAGTGAAATCGCGCGGGTTCTTTAGCAGAATATAGTTAGCGTACTTATCATGCTCTGCGGGTCCAAGTTTGCGGAGCAGGAGGCGGACCTTCTAACTATCATCTTGAAGTGAAAAGTCGACCCTGAACAGGTCTTCATAGCGACGAAACCAAGCATCAGACGTTATGCCAGATGAGTGTTCATAGCGAAATTCGTTGATACTGCCAGCGATTCCATCAACCGACTGTGGGACTCTCGACGCCGCCGGTGAAGCCAAAGATGTAGTTGATAGTCGCTCCGGACGTACTTTGATGAGTTGCAGTTGTTGCTCAAACATTACTTTGAGTTGTTCTGCCTCCATCTTGCGTCGCCAAATATGTTACGGTTCGGTCACGCAGCGAGCAAACAATATGATAATGCGGATTGTGGCAATACTCTATCCCCAGCTATGTTGCTTGATACAGACTCCTAGCACGGCGAATAGTAAGAAGACGAGAACCTCGGACACAAACTTTAATAATCCAACAACACACGATCAACATCCATACCGGACCATGAGCCATACTTGTGAGTGCAATATTTCACTTGGCTCGTTACAGGATCTCCTGGACTAAACGGTCAGAATTCCTTGTCGGAGACCTAGAATGATCGTCGTTCGTGAATAAGAGGCAACCGTAGAGCATGGGCACTGTGGCTCGTCGACGGAAGAAATTCTTCACCTCAGGTAGACAGCGCAACGTGATACTTCATAGCCTGCCCCTGGATGCTGTCGTGCTTTTTTGGCCTGTTGAACCGTGTCAAACACTGATACAACGACAATCGTCTCTCGTTTTTTGGTGACGGAGGCAATGACGGTGTATCCTCGTTTAATGATTTGAGAGTTAGTCAAATGGGAAGGTTCGCCGTTCTAACCTATCTCCTGTAACTCGTACCAGACGATGAAGTTGTAGTGAAGCAGTATGATGTTCCGTGTAATGGTAGCATGCGATATTGTCTTTTGTGTAGCATCGAGAAGTTCATGGGTGGTCATTGTTCCGATTCTGTCGTTGGATTTATGAATCGTGGGAATAACGGGCAGTAGATAGTCAAAGTTTGTCAACAAAAGTTTGGACTACAAAAGCTCTTTTGTATCTGGTAATCATTCTCCAAATGTTCCCACTGCCAAAGCATCGCCATACTTATTAATGACTCACAGTTTCAGGATTCCAGGATTCCCAAAGTGCATTTGACTCATTTGATCTACCGACACGTTCGCTCAACGAGGAATGCCTTTGATGTTTTTTTTAACATAATGAGTTCTTTGTTTTATCAGAATTGCAGGTTTGTAAGAATATACAAGGTCTTAAAAAACTTCTCACACAGAATAATTCCCGATAAGGGTAATTACCGCCAGCATCTATAACATATCAATGTTCAACACTGATCTTCACTGCCGTACGACCGTAATTCACTTGAAAAAACTAAAGGTAGATAGAGAGCGAGACTTGTCAGCCCATCACAACCATCCATACCTCGAGACAGTCACTCAACAATCTTGATAGAAGTTTACAACACTCCTAATTGATTCTTCGTTGCCTTACGGCAAGACGGCTTCCAATGCGCAGCTAGCTATCCCGCCTCCCCAAATCATCGGCCGACGAAACCCTGGCAATTACAACTGCTGTACGGCAAATATGCGGCTCCCACGACGGATGATGATGAGTTTAATGAGAAACAAACAATTTACTATCTGGCAATACTGTATGGATCGCATTCTCAGTGTACAGCAACTTCTGGCTTATCATCGTGCCTACTCCGAGCCTGTTCCCCCGGTTCTCTTGATAGAAAAAGAGCCTTTGACTCCACCGATGGGCCGCTATTTGGAGGTTTCTGTCTAGAAGCAGTGTGTAGAGCTCAACTACGAGCACGTTTATTATTCTGGGGAGGGCAAAATAGCTTTGAGTCGTCATACTCGTCCATACTCATCACTGGCATCATAATGAATGCCTTAGAAAACCCAGAACACAGGCCTAGAGCTGATCCAGGGTAGTAGACTAATAGATCCAAATACACATGTGGTGTCCTTTCAGCGTGTGACACGACCAAGGCAATCTGGCATTGGAGGGCTTAGTGGCATCAGTATCAGATTGCATATATAGGTGAAAGGCAGTGTTATTGGCTTGGTAGGATCCGGTCCCATCGCGCCATAACTTCTTAGTATATTTATTTGTTGTGTGACAGGCTGTTTTGACTGCGTGGTTGACACTGAAGAAGTTCCCGACCTAAGGCTGCCACCTTGAAGTGGTAGTCGGGCTTGAGTGATGCAATGATCCCGCGGGCTATATTGGCTGGAACTTCGTTCCACAAGGTGCAAACATGCCAGGAAGGCCAAAGGGAGCAGTCAGACCAAGAGCATCGAGACCCCGTACTACGAGCAATCGTGCTACGAGGCGGTCTGGGGGTAAAGTCGTGCTGTTCTCTGCGACAGGTGTGAAGGCGTTAAGGTGTTTTCCACAGGTGACCAGCATGTCCATATTAATGGAAGCAGCAATGCCGCCTTTCCCCGAGGAATGACGGGTTTGAAAAGGTTGGCCCCGAAAACCGCTCACTCCGATCACCCAATGATTAATCGTGACAGCCGGCGCATTATCTAAGACGGCTGAAGTACTTTTAAAACCAAACAGTTCGGTGCTACTCAAAAGACACCTGCTGTGCGCAGCCACATTAGGAAGGAGACAGTAATGCCTTATTTCCTGCGCCCTCAGGTTAGGCCAACCCCTTGCAGCTGAGCAGGTCAGACTGTTGGATCATCGGCTCCGGGAAGGGTTTTAAAGGAGAACCCTACTTATGCTGCCTCGTGGGTCAGACTTTTGAGTCAGAGGCTAGGGGCAGGGTCTCCGAACGAAACCCTACGTCCTCCCGCTGTTTTGTGGATCAGACTTTTGAGTCAAAGGCTCAAGATGAAGTACCTCAAGCAACCCCCTTCCTCGGCCTGGGCAGCCAGGAAGTATCATTTGCCCGCGCAGCTCAGTGTCCGCCGATTTCCCTCCCCAGCCCGTTCCCACCACACAAGCAAGCGTCGCTGGGTCATTTGGCTGTCAGTTATCTGACCGAAGGGCCTTATGCTCCTTGCTGCCTACTAACAATAAGCGAAATGACACCCATCTAAATCCACAAGCCCTTTTTATATAGGATCTTCTAACTTCCGTACTCTATGTCAAACTGGCAAACAGGCAATGCTTGCTGAGACCTTATACTCCCGTAAAATTGATGTATGTTGTGTCTTCGAAACACGCATACAAGACCCGAGCGTGGTTATGCATCTCAGAACGCCAAGAATGAACGCAACTCTTTCACATTTCTCCTCTCGAGTGTCCGATGACCATGAAGCGATGACTCTTGGTATGTCTGGCGTGGGAGTTGCACTCAGCCCCAGAGCTGAACGCGCTTTGCTGGATTGGATCCCAGTGAACAGTCGTCTTTGCGCCGTCCGGTTATCCAGTTCAATTAAGCTCAATGCCTCTTGCCATAAAAAGCGGTGCCTGTTTTTATTGTCGGCTTATGCCCCAGTGGACTGCAGTTCTGATGCTGAGAAAGATACTTTCTACCGAGAGCTATCCGGGCTCATTTGTCAAGCAAACAGCACTGACATTGTGATCCTTGCAGGCGATATGAATGCTCACGTAGGTCGTCTGAGCTCTTTGGAATCACATTTGGGTGATCGATTCGGAGTCGATGCTCACCGCACAGACAACGGAGATAGACTCTTTCAGTTGTGTGCTGAGCATGAACTGTTTCTGGCAAATACGAACTTTCAACATAAGCGTTTGCACCGCGTAACCTGGCGGCCACCAACTGCAAATCAACCGTTGACCCAGTTGGACCACGAGGCCACCAGCCACCAGTGAAGAGCCACGGCTCAAAACTGCCGTTCCCTCTGGAATACACCACTCGATTCCGATTATTCCATGGTGGGTGCACACCTGACACTTCGTTTCATTTCAGGCCCTCTCAAGTCATGCCAATCCACTGTCTTCGAAGAACTACCATAGCTCAATAGTATCCGTCTGAGCCAGCCCAACAACTCTCCACAGTAAACCAACACTGTAGTCGCAGTGAGCTTCTGGATGAAGCGTGGCAAAATGTGAAAGAAGCTATGTTAGAGGCGTTAAGTGCTGTCTGCCTGACTTCTCCGATTCGACAACAAGACCACTGGATGTCGTCGAGGTCGCTATCCATGATTGATGCCAAGAAAGCCATACCAGCAGGCAACGAGTACGACGGCGCACACAAAGCCCTTAAACACCAAATAATGAAGAGTCTTTGGAAAGACGGAGAGCTCTGGTGGACATCGAAAGCTCGGGAGATGGAGAAGGCTTTTGCTACCGGAAACGGCCGTGCCCTATATCAACTGATACGATCGATTGGCCCCAGGAAAGCAACGAGCAGCGAAACGATAAGTGAAAAAAAGATGGCTCGTCAATTCACTCGCAAAAACGTCGACTGGAGAGATGGGCCGAACACTTCGAAGAGCAGTTCAGCTGGCCTCATGCAACACAGCCGGTAGTGATAATGCACACGGGCGAGTGGAACGTAAACCTTGGTCGCCCTTCAAAAGGCGAAACAAGGTACGAAATAGCCGTACTAAAACGTGCGAAGGCACCAGGACCGGACGGTCTGTATCCATCCCTCTTCAAAAAGAGCGGAAAAGCCGTGATGACCCATCTGACAAAGCTATTGGTACTATACTTAGTGAAGAGAAGGTGCCTGCAGAATGGGGTATGTCGACAGTTATCCCTATCTTCAAAAAGGGTACGTGGACGCTGTGTAAAAACCACCGTGGCAGCAGCCTGTTAGCGGTGGCATCGAAGGTGCTCTGTGGCCTTATCCTTCGAAGGTTGACTGGACACAGGGAGAGGCAGATCCGTGAAAACCAAGCTGGGTTCCGTCCTGCAAGAGGTTGTATCGATCAATTCTTCACCCTCCGAAAGATTCCGGAACAGCGACACTGCTTCCAGCAGTCAACGATGGTTGTATTCCTTGATCTAAAAGCTGTCTTTGACTCTGGACCGCCAAGCACTATGGCAGTGTCTGCGGAGCAAAGGTGTCCCCCATAAATTCTTGACCCTCATTAAGGGTCTACGGGAAGTTCTCTCCTGAGTTCACCACATCATTGGTGTCCGACAGGGCTATCCTCTTTCACCTTTCCTCTTCAACTTCGTCATTGATACGATCATCGAAGACTCACTACTAACCTCTAATGCCTGTGGGGTCGAAGTGCCCCCGGGGCCTCCGCTCACAGATATCAAGCACGCGGACGACATAGCTCTTCTTGGATCTGGTTCCGTGGTAATGGGAACAATATTAAATGATCTAAATAATTCTGCCTGACGGTTTGGCATGCGCTTCAAGCTTGCAAAGTATAAAGTGCTACTGCAAGACTGGGTGGGCTTGAACCCTAGCCTCAGTCTTGCGGATGAACCGATTGAGGCAGTAGACAAACTTGCTTCCTGGGCAGCCGTGTCAGTCCCGGTGGTCGCGAAAGATGATATTTCTATCCGGATCGGGAAGGCCAGAGCAACTCTTGTGAACCTACTTCACTTGTGGCGTAGGCGTGACATAAGCTTCTCTGTCAGTGGTTGAGTTTACAGTGCAGCAGTGCACTCCATATCACTTTACGGATCAGAAACCTGACCACTGCGCGCCGAGGACGTCAAAAGGCTTTCAGTGTTTGATCATCGATGTCTTCGGAGCATTGCCCGAATCTGGTGGGAACACTGGATCAGAAATGATGAAGTTCGTCAAATGGTATTCGTGAGAAATAACTCACGATAGATGAACTGATCACACTGCATCGGTTGCGCTGGCTTGGCCACGTATTGCGTGTGCCAGTCGACCGACTTCCTCGAAGGGCTCTTTTCGCAGAATCACCTGAAGGGTGGAAGAGAGCCAGAGGCGGTCAAACAATGACTTGGCAGCGAAGTATAAAGCCATTACCTGCAAACTCAGCTGCGCTGGTCATTGCCGTCTGTCTGTCTGGGGACCCCGAGACGGCCTATATCAATGGTTGGAGACATTGTCAGACATGACCCAGTCGCGCCCTCAATGGCGCTCGTGCATCCAAGCTATTGCCTTCAATGCATAGCTCCCTTCTCAACTCCCTCACTCAACGGCCCACTGACAGTGCTGTGTTTATGCACTCATTTATCAGCTCCCGCTTCCAACGCGGAGCTATCTCCCCACGTCCCCAAATCATTGGTGAACAAAACTGTGGCAGCTACCACCACTGTCCGGCAAGTATGCAGTTATTACAACTGACAATGATGATGATGATGATAAAGAAGTTACAAACCGCATCACGGACGTTTTTGGCACTCGTGCGTATCTACACAACCTTGCGTGCCAAAAGATTTGTTTGGGTGTCTGTCAGTATTCCCCTGACTTTGTGGTGCTCAGAGTATAAATCGTTTGACCATTCGTTTCGAAGGAATACAGTTTCTTTTATTGCTGTTTCGATGGAGAAGTGATGCCTTCATTCTACTATATTTTTCTAATTGTCCTTAAAAATGTTGTTGAAGGAGACATTCATCACATCGCGTAAGTAGACAGTTTCACTAACATCGGGTTTATTGCGTCTGGTTGACCGAATCAATAAATTCAATTGCTTACACGGCTGACTCGCACCTAGCGGCCGTCAGATTACACGCTGTGATGTTTATTTCAAAAACTCGTGCTGCTCCGAAACAGTTGGTCAGCGTACAATTGCAGGAGTCGCTCTTAGTTGTCTGGACGGTGGACGTCGACTCAACTTCGACCGCTCATGTGTTATTCTGAGGAGCTCAGACGACTGAAATTTCGAACGGCGCGAAGACGACTGTTCACTTGTGTTTAGTCCAGCACTGTACGTTCAGCCATGAACTGAGTGCAATTCCCATGCCATATACTCCACGAACCGTTAATTCTGGATCACCAGACCTAGAGATTAGTGTGAAAGAGCTGAGTCTATCCTAGACATTTGAAGATGTGTGAGCAAGCTTGAGTCTTGTATACATCAGCTTCAGCCGTTGATAATGGTGAACAAACCGTCGGGCCCCGGAGCCAGGTATTGGTACTACTCGAGAGCTTCGTTGACGCCGGCTTGGAAATCAATGTGAATGTGGATCAACCCATCGGCGACTGATGCTTACTGGCAGACTGAGTAACGGGACGCCTTGTTGTTCAAGGTGCTCGAGTTCGGCATCAATCTATGACAAGCAGGCTTCGCAGTGCCAGAGATGAAAGATTATTCGGGACTTCAGCCAGAGCGCGATGAATTGAAGGGGACGAGCCGGAATTAGACTAAACGAAATGTTTGGGAGCCTGGCGAACCACACAGACTTCGGAGTCACTTTCGATTCAAGACCGAACAGAAGTGGTGTTATTCTGCAGATTGGTCAACCGTTGATATTGGTCGGCAATGGTGTTTAGAGGCAAAAAACAATCGTTCAGCTGTAGCACCCTTTCAGTGCCTAACTGTCATGCCACTCGAAGGAAGCACAAGGGCCCGGATACTGCCAGGTTTTCCAAGCCTTATTAAGGGAAGTTGAAATGCAGAGGTAAGGTTCGAACTACGGACCTTGTCGTCAATAAATTCGCACCCTAACCATTGGTCAGACAACAACTGCCGTTGTGACGCTCGTTCCAGTCCTAGCAAGTCACGATCTAACCGTTATTGCAGACTGATGGAGAACACCTTCGGGTCGCATTCCAATCGCCTTAAATCGTCTCATAGCCTGCGAGCGGCTGGTGTGTCGAACTCCGCTGAAAGGTTTCCTTCGTGATGGCCCAGTCCATCTTCCCAGGACCCCTTCTGGCCGCGTCCATGGCCGTCTTCGCCCGGCCTCTCAGGACGGTCCTCAGTGCCACCAGCTTACTCCCGTCGGTCTTCGGATCCCCACCTGCGTAACGTCCTCGAAATCCTCCCGGAAAGTCCGCACATCCTCATCTTCAAAAGAACCGTGGTCACGGGACCTTTATCCATATCCTGGTCATAGCACCAAATGAAAGGAGGATAGCCTTTCGCTGTGAAGTTGTTCGTTAGCAAACACGAACCAGGTGGTTGCAAGTCATTCGACACGAAAGTAAACATCTCACATGCACAAAGTTTTTGAAAAGTGGACATTCTCAACCGTGGTCTTGAATTTTCGTAGACGTTAATTGAATAACGAACGAACAACAACGAACGACGCGACCAGTCCATGGTTCGCATAGAATTTCACTGAAGAGAACATAGTTTAATGATTGAAAATCGCAGAAATGCTTGTCCATCTTTCGGTGCACCAGTTGGCTAAATGTAACACTATTTATCGTTTGATACATTCCTCATCAGACGTCCTCGATAAGTGCACCCAAAGGGCCGGGGTAGTGAGCTTTCAGACAGTTAGAAAATATCATTTTAGATCATCAGATGTGGAAAAACTTTCAGTTGGATAAGTGGATCGGAACGGTGAAGTGACACCTTCCTGGAAGCGCTCGCACTCAGTTCATCAGGTTAGTTCATTACGTCATTGGTGTGCTAGACAATTTGATGTACCTCCTAGTCTGACGCAGCCCAGGGCTCGCATGTAGATTCATAGAGAAAACGATGCAACGGAATATATTTACTGTTCAAGTTCGATTGTGCGACTTCATGATGTCAGTGAAAGCATCACTTGCACTCTTCAGTCACACTAGAAAATGAATTGTTTACAACAACATATGTTATCCTTCCTCAGTTCACCGGAATTGTGGCTTTCTGAAGTGGTATTTTCTACAGCCCAATAATGCCACCCTGATCTATATCGTTGACGGAATGTTTCCGTGTATCGGCATTAACACTCAGAATTGCGCCTCTGCATCATTCAGGAAATTCAGCGTGTGTAAATCATGGCAATGAGTCACAAGTGGTATCTGTTAGGAGCGATATTTGAGGGATATTTGTTCATGTAGGTGAACATACTTGATGCGAAATCTTGTAGAAATTAGAAGGTCGGATGCTTTAGTCAATCACGTGTACGCATTTAAAGTTCAGTTGACGGCTAGTTACACATAGACTGTCTATGTTAAATCCGCCGCATCATGGACGAGAGCTTGATTTGGATGACGGCAGATCCTTTTCATTATCTTTATGCTTTTCGAGGTGCGGTGTTTAGCATCACCACTATTTGATGTCAACAGCCAAGAGGTGCAGTTTGAACCGATGCTTATGGTGTTCAGTTTAGCTGTAGAGTGGATTGGGTGCCTGAAATCCTCCATTGCTGTTGGACCGAGCATGTACGGAAGCACTACGTCATAGAAACCTGATGGTGTAACAGGTAACGTCGTTCATATGGGCACAAAAAACCTGCCAACTATAATCACCCAGTTCATACCTTTGAACGGGCGTCCGTGATAATTTCCTGTATAATCCAACTGTTGTCAGTATGTTTATATCCAAGAAAATTGTGATACAATATGGTACGCTTGCACCGCACTGTTTCATGCAATGGGCGTCTGAAAACTCAATTATGCGGATTCAAGCACATTGATGGTTGATTATCAGGCAATAGTCCCTCCTTATTTTACCCAAAATTCCTTGTCTGCGTACCTCTGTCTATCTCATCAATATCCCGAAAGTCAACTTTTCCGTGCGGCTGTTCTTTTAGAATTCACGGAACTGCATTAACAAGGAAGAAATAGGTCACACACATGATCCACCGTACCAATGCTAGTCATATCTTTTTTATAGTGAAAACGCATTCACATTCACACTACTCGGGCACTGCGGCTGATATTAAACGTGTATACTTCTTGTCCCCGTTGTGTACAGCATGGGACTCGCTTTATACATACGTTTGTCGCTTTTGTGAGTACAGATCCACAAGTTATAGTCCAGTGGTTAAATGATGTTTTTGGCCTCATAGTGTACGCGTCATCGGTTGGCCCTGCGGGCAAGTGCTCCCTTGTTTTGTTCTGTTCAGGGTAGCTGCCTCCCAATTCAAGACCGACCACCGCACCACAATAATGTAGGTATTTCAGTGTGGTTGTGCACCCACGTTTTGGTTTTTGGTTCCACTGGCTTTCTTACTTTTATGTGGTGTCCCGTATGTACGAAAGAAAGAAAGAAAGCGTTCAGCTGTAGCACCCTTTCGGTGCCTAGCTGCCATGCCACCCGAAGGAAGCAAGAGGGCTGGGATACTGCCAGGTTGCCCAAGCCTAGACAGGGGAAGTCGAGTGGCGGAGGTCGGATTCGAACCACGGACCTTCCGGTTAGTAAATTCGCGCTCTAACCACTTGGGCCATCTCGCCCCCCCCCGTATGTACGACGCACACCCCAATGGTCTGATGAGAACCAATCGATGTATCCTGCGCTATACCGGCGCGATAAGCTTTCCTACTCTCGAATTAATTGTTTCTGCTTTTTAAATCACTCCTTTCGAAGCTGATAGGATATTGCTAAAATAGGGTAGGCGGAACAATATGACTGGTCAGAGCTATTCAGATTGCTTTATCAAGTGAGTAGCTAACCAGAACTAAGCACTTTTCCACACTGTTTACAATGTATTCTGGCCATTTCATAAAATAATTGACCTCAATTTTTCTGTCCTCTTATAGCTTTCTTTTACCGTCTGCATTTTGTCGAGCATAACGTACAATTACAAGCCCAATGGAGGAAACTGATTGTCTTCTTTCATCCCAGAGATCATCAGTCAGCGATATGCCTAACAATATCCCCCATACCTCTCAAGATTCCGATTCCAGTTTGGCGCGCAACGATCCGTGCACTAATACAGAAGGGAACAGTGACCCCACACCAATAAAGGTTCTCCAGCATATCACTCCGAATAGACGAAAAAGAATCAGGATTTCACCTTTATCACGTTCCGGGACGACTCTGAAGAATGATTCCTCAAGTACAATGAACGGCCCGGATGAGGTCATTCAGTCAGATCATGTTTCGACCGCTGACTTTCATTGTCCCAATCGCCTTGACCACTCCGAGCGTGACCGAACAGATACTCTGCGAAATTCTGTTGTGAATCTAAGTGCTATCGAGCCGGAGGTGCGTGGGATCATATTCAAATACGTACAGTCAGAATCGGTAATATGTTGTTTGGAGCTTGCCGGGTTTACATCACCTTATGTGCTTACTTGTTTAGACGAAACCCAGATACATCGAGTGGAGGATTTTGTTGGACATGCTTGTACGTTAATGAACTCTGCCTCCGTCCGGGAACGTTTCATTGGTCCCATATTTTCTGATTTCCCTGAACAATTTAGGTTCCCCTCAGGGACCGTGTGTGGCCTACTCTTGGCAACAGCAGAGATTAAACGTCGATATAGCTCCTTAAGTAAACCGAACGAGAGCTATTTGGTGGATCATAACACAAAAAACCTTACTGATGTGTCTGCCCAAACGGATATATCTCTTCCCTTTGCTTCCAGTCTTTCAACAGCAGGGGAGGCAAATTACAGTAACAAACTTTCTAATGCAATTATCAAAAGCTCCCCACCAACTCAGGGTGCTGGATCTCCACAGTCCGCCGCGTCGACCTCATCAGCTGTGATCGAATTCCCCAGTACACTGGATTCAGCCTCAAAGTCGAACACTGAGAATGTCGCAACGTCGTCGGATCCAATGAGCATGATGGCCGCTGCTTTCCAAGCGGCTGCCGTAGCCGCAGCTGGAAATAACCACACGATACAACCAGCCTTGGGGAGCAAGTCTACAACAGCGGATTCATCTACTGGCACATCTGGAGAACAAATTTCCAATCCACTTGAGCTTGCACAGGCTCTCGGCAACCAGTTCCCCGTAGAAATCACTTCAGCCGCACGACTTGTCGCAGCAGTCTCTGGCTGCGCCTTCTCCAATCCGTTCCAGCCGAGTCAGACTACTCTCGGACCAGGCGTAAATTACGATGAGGAAGTCGTCGACCTGGATCGTTTGAAACAGCACTCTTCTGCCAGCGCTATACGATTGGCGTCGCGCCAGTTTCTCAATGCTCATCTCGTTCGTGGTCGTGATTTCGATATGGAAATGGAGATCTCAACTACACCTGAAGGTGTAAAGCGTGTTACAGGCATATTTTATTGTCATTTATGCCGGGAGAAGCGTGAGCGTACGTCAGCAGTCCGGTTTTCCATTGCGAGGAATCGCTATCCTGTATTGAGCAATGTTCTCTCTCATCTAAAAACACATTTTCAGTATCGTGGGCAATTTTTCACCGGCACAGGAACCACTATCACTGGTACCTCATCGAACATGCACCACCTGACTCCCTCAACAAAAGTTTCTACGGGATTCGGGGATGTTATGCTTCCGATGGTTAGTTCCTCCATACCAGGTCTACCTTTTGTCGGCTCCACCACGTTACCGAATTTCGGTCTGAACGCACCTAGTTATTTCGATGTTAATGTTACTCCGTCCGGTGCTTCGAATACCCACACCTCTCGTTCGACCGTCTCCACTCCCACTCCTCCGGATCCAAATATACCGGCTTTCATGCTCAAAGGTGAAGAGCTGGAGCATACCCGTGATGATGAGCAGAAGAGGCAAATTCTCACGTCCGCAAACTCCGTTTGTCAATCTCCTTGCGATGCCCGTGCTAACCATTCCAACGCAACCTCCTTGGAATCATCCGACAGTGTCCCAACCAGCACGTTCAATCAGATAGTCGACCATTTCAGTTCGCAAGCCGATTTTGCTCCTCTCGGTAATCCGCGATGACTAGTCAGTCGAATGTAGTTTTGTCAAGCTATCTTCGACCCCCCTGTGTATAGTTCGCTCTACTCCATATGCTTTGTTCTTCTGTTTCGTTTTCTATTCGTCGTAGTGCATCTATCGGCATGTCGACCATTCCAACATTCGATCCATTGATCAGATCCAGTTAGAAAGAATTTCAATCAGGATAAAAAATCACAGAGCTGTGCAACTAATATCGCAGCAGCAATTCGTTCATTTGCGTTCATTCTTCCCTAGTCAAGCTGCAACGTTCAATCACTTGTGTGATTTTTGTCTTCATTCAAGGACACGTTGTGGTCGTGTCAGTTTTTCTACAGAAGGAAATGTGTATGATTACGCATGTAGATGTTCTCCCTATGTCCTTGGCAATTTGCCCATGGTGTTCGTTCCTCGCAGCAAAACTGGATTACCGGTCATTAAGTATGAGTAATAGCGGTCCGAGACATAGACCTGACTCAACCTCTCGTACGAATGGACCGTGGCAAAGTGAGCAAATTGTACTCAACATGAGATGCTTAAAACGTAACACCAGCCGTTTTGTCGTTAAGCTACCGGATGCTTCTTCCCTGTCTGCTTGAATATCGGCCAAGTTATTCGTCACCCATAGGATTCGTGTTTATCTGGTGTTTTGCGTCGCCTAACAAAAAACGATCCTCACACCTTCATCCTTTCGGTCAGTTAATTCGCGCTCTAATCACGAGTCATCTCGCTTCCTTTGAACGGAAAGCTTTAACCACCCGCCGATGGTATTTCGGCGTTATGTTGCTGGCATATTCATCATTAAACGTGAAATGTTCGACCAGTTTGACCGCCATAATACCTTCAAGCTTCACATTACGTCGAGCATGGGGTTAGAGTCCACTTCCAGCCCACTGTCCTTGCTGGAGTGATGGCAAACAGGAGAAATTATTATTTCCCAAAAGCCAGCAGACACTGGTTCTTTCTCTAACTATTCATCGACTCATTTCAAGGTATGAGTTCAGCAATGTTTAGTCGAGTAAGAGCACTAGATGGGGCAAATCGGCCGAATGTCATCTTAAACTGAGGCCAGAAAGATAGTTCAATAGAAGGGTACACCGACTTTGTTTGAGCAGCGACCAAGTTGATTATTGGCTTTAGTATCTGCTCCGAGCGAAGGGTGGTTTTGGACAGTGTTCCTTCTGTACAATACAAGGACACCTGGACTTATCCGAAGGATGAATACAGCTGATCTCCATCATGGGGAAACTTAGCGCTTAGCATCGTATTTTGGTTGATGGGATATGGGATCCTAGTTTGTTTGACACATTTTGGACACCACCTTGCACACTCATGTTCTCCGGGAGTAGCACTCCTGCAGCAACGGGAAAAGTGGTGTTTATAGGGACCAGTACCTTTGATCGTTTACTCATTTGACCAAACAACAAGCTAATGAGTTATATGGCTCCGTTTTACATTTTTGAATGCATTTCATGGTTTGTTGGTCCATGACCCTTCTAGTGTTCGTAGGCGTATTATTATCAGTAAACTTAGAATGAGCAATACTTTTATGCAGTGGAGGAAGCCGGATGTTTCATTGTTGTGTGAGTTGCGGCAGAGGTTCAGAATCGAGCTAGAAACTTGAAAATGGGAAGGAAACACAGTCGGTTCATAACAATATTACTGTTACCGGGTGCAACGAGGAATCAAAATGTTGGGCAAAGAGGACTTTTAAATTTCGAAGAGATGTTGAAAGCTGGGACTTTTGGGCATCAACGAGATAACTACATGGGGAGTTACTGTGTATTCTGACCATAAACTTGGTAATGGATATCCATTTATATTCTACCACACCTCAAAGTATACTCCACTGATCCAATTGGGTATGGCAATTTTTCCCCAGGAATGCGGGGACTACAGCATTGGAGCTGTAGATTCAATTTCGAAGTCGGGTATGTGGACACACCTCAGGATGTGATGAGAATTTGTGGTGTATGTGACATCTAGTCTGAGGCGCGAAAATGTGACTCATCGGACTTCGATGATATGGGGACATCGACCACCGTTTGATAAGTTTTTTCTTGGTTGGTTCATCAGTAAGGACGTAAATTACCAGCTTTAGTGGCAACAAAAGATGGAAAGTTATTGAAACAGTCGTGAAATTGCCTCAACGAAGGGAGGAGAATTCTACATAACAATTCTTGAGAACGTTTAATAGAAGGTACCATTCATCAGATAACCACATTAAAACACTAAGCTAGACCCTCAGATTGATACAGGCTTCAGTAATGTGGGACTTATTGCTTAGCATCAAGTCAGAAACACAATGTATTAGAATACTGAAGACGTTCAGGACAATAACAAGAAGATACAGAGAAGCTTGGATCAACCTTTTAAGATTCGCGATAACTTACTGCCGTCATATTAGCCAAGCAATTATGTATACTGGCATCACGGTGGAGGTGCGACGCAGTTTTGTTTGAGATTAGAAACTGATTGTCCAATCCGCTTTTAGTGAGGTATTTAGAAGGCTGGCTTTTGATATGCATTAAAACCTGGCTGACTCTGTAACCTTGATCAGTTGACCTGACCGGTCAAAAGTACAATTTTCCCAGCAATAAATCTGATGATTGTTGCCCATCTCCATCGACAATGTTTTGGTGGATTTTGAGTATTTTCACATAAAGGTCCACGGAATCAGTTCCATTCAGGTAACTTACAAACATTTTCTGCTCTTTGTCATTCTACTGAAAGGTACTCACAGTGATTCTGATCATGATCCTTGTAGCATTCCTATTCAAGCATTTCGCACTGTCAGCCTAGCATCGTGCTAATTTCCCCAATGGTTGAGTCAGTAACATTATCGTGTATATTCACAAGACCCAACAGGTGGAGCACAACATGATGCGCGTATTGAAAAGAGTCGATCCTGTGGAAATCTGTACGCAGAGCTGAAATTGCTAACCGATGTCCACACACCGGAGTGCATCTGTTCGCTTGTTGTCGGCGGAGTATCGATCGGAACGACGGAGAACACATATTGGCGATCTGCTCAACATTGACAGTTATACCAATCAGCTAATATTGAACGTACAAACCAGTGTATCGAACACTACGAGGACATTGAACATCGCCATCGGTATAGCCCCCGAATTTTGATTGGTGTATCCGTTCAACGGAATTGCTGCACCTGCAGTTCTTCATTTTTCCACTTGTTCCAAGAGGTGACACTGGATATCTGCAACTCATAAGAAATGGGCTATTTTAACCGGGGAGCCACGAATAGCTCACTGAATTTCTAACCCGGTCAGCTACCATGAATTTCTTTAGTTTGCTACTATTCTCCCCACCACATATGGTGTCGATTGCTACCAGAAAAGTTTTACCGATGACTTGATGGGTGCTCATGGAATCTGCGGCTTTCTATCGTTGAATCAATAGGCCGACATGGGTATGACCAAATCTTCAGCCTTAACTGTGGTCCTCAGGCAACCAAAACCCACTAAAACGGAGAAGAACGGGTGACTCCATTCATGCGGGTTAGGGAACACAATCGCATCGGACCCTCAATCAAAAAGCATAAGAAAAGTCGACACCGAATGGACACGATGAATGACTCAAATTGACCGTTGACTTTTTCGTAAGTTGTTGATCCTCTACGCCTGGTCAAGTGTTACTCCTAAGCATTGTTTGTAGGCCGATCTCCAATCGGCTCAACTGGCGAACGTGCCGGCAAAAAGCGATTGCCCAGCCGAAAGTACTGCCTTATCACTCACTGACAACTGACAGGATGCGGAACATGAGCGATCTGGTCCACCAGCTGTACACTCCTGAACGTTTGTCAGTTTAGTCGCGTTCTTAGGTGTCCATTTGTTTGACAACCGAGCGAATATAACCAACTACTGATTAGTGTGCTACGTGACCAGCGTGAGCTTGAGGCTTAGAGCAAAGCTAGTCAAATATACATAGTGTGGTGCTCAACACGAATATGAAACCGCTTACTGTCACATCGAACAAAATAGTGGTGTGATAGTCTCTGATTCATTGGGATATTTGAAGGAAATGCAGTCACAAACAGCCCAAAGGACTGAAAGTTAGCTTCCGCTTAAGAGTTTGGGAAAGCTAACAAAAGACCAGCAAATGAATCTTGGTGATAAGTAGTGGGCTGTCCGGTGCTGGACAGAACATATAAATTTTGAAGTTGATCGAATGAATTCAGATTGCTGAGTAGGCTGTAGCTTATCAGTACTAAAAGCACCTGGCTGGATGACATTTCACCGAATCATTGGACGCTTTCTTTTGTCATTCAAACCTCAATTTAGGAGGTTTGGATTTTCACCTTTCTCAGTACTGTACTAGGTTGTAAACCATGTCACTCTACACCAAGATTCCTCCCACGAAAATCAGTACACAGCGACACGAAAAGTATTATTTAGAGTGAAATGTAGATTTACCTAGTGAGGCGGTAACCTTCACAGGCCTGGTGTATCAAGACTGTAGTGCAGAAGTTTCGACAGGCCAATCGATGGAAAAACATCTGGAGACAAACAATGAGAAGACCCGGATGATAAGCTCAGAGATCTTATTTCTCTAAGAATTTTAGTATACAGTTCAGTTGGAGCTGGCAGTTTCCACGTGATGGTACAGTTGAGGGTAAAACTTTTCACGCAGAACTTTCTAATGGGATCAGGACATGCAAAATTCAAGGTAATTCAAGGTTTAATAGTCTAAAAAGCAATTAACTTTACAACGACCATAGGGTGAACGTATATATACAAAGGGACGCAAAAATATGCGTAATGCTTACTGAGTATCACATGGAGTTAAACAGTTCCAGATTCGGTTTGGACATCTAAATTGTTCTTGAAAATGGTTAAACTCGGCGAATGTACAACATTGGGCGGTAGGGAGTTCTAAATGAAACATACACGGACCGCAAAAAAGTTCCGTCGACAGTTCACCCTCGAGTGAGGTACCTCGACCGAAAAGTCATGCCTCCTGCCCGTTCGTGGTCGACGTCGGACAAAAAGATTTTCCAGCGGATGATTAGGTGTCTTCAGTATATTATATGTTAGAATTAGGTCTCCCCTGATGCGCCGATAGTAGAAGTCAAATAGGTTGAGACTGGCAATCCTGTCTTCGTATGGTTTATTATGCAATCCAATTACCAGCTTCGTGGCTCGATGATATATTCGCTGTAGAAGAATTATGTCTTTTTGAAGCCATGGTGACCAAGCTTGTATAGCGTATTCCATGGTTGGTCGGATGTAGGTATTGATTACTCGGGGCAGTGCCAGTCGAGTGAAACGACCAAAAATCCGTTTTAGGAGCGACAGGACTTGTGAGGTCCTCTTGTAGACGGCTGTGCATTGCAAGGAGTTTTTTAAACAGCTGCTGACCCACACGCCAAGATCTTTTTCTTCACTAGTCCAAGAAAGTGGTTGTGGACCCAACGTATAGTTATATGCAAAGGGCTTCCCTACACGGAGCATTTTACATTTTTGGAGGTTAAACGGTAGTCTGTTTTTCAGTGACCAATCATAAAGTGTATCGAGATCTTTTTGTAATCGGTGACAGTCTTCAATGGTGCGTATGCTTGACCATATCTTGATATCGTCTGCGAATAAAGTGATTTTACTGCTCACGAGCTCAGGTATATCGTTTACGTATAATAAAAATAAAGTAGGCCCAAGAACAGAGCCTTGGGGTACTCCACTTGTAGCTGCAATTGGCTTGGACAGAGCGCCGTCAACACATACACGCGCGTCTCGGTCAGCCAAATAGATTTCAAGCCAAGCCAGCAGCTTTCCCGTAATACCATAATGCTCGAGTTTTTGCAACAATATGTTATGGTTCACGCGATCAAATGCCTTGGAGATGTCTAGATAGCATGCGTGAACGGGATTTCCATTGTCCACAGCTTGCGTCCAGTCGTCTAAGGTAATGAGGAGATTGGACAGACAGGATCTGTTTTTTCTGAAACCATGCTGGGCAGCCGAAAGCAATCCGTTTTCCTCTAAGTGTTTAATGATTTTGTTTGCCACCAGTCGCTCAAGCACTTTGGAGATCACCGGCAACAGAGTCACCGGCCGGTAGTTTGACACGACCGAACGATTACCTCCTTTGTATATGGGAGTGATAACGCCCTTCTTCCAGTCGTTGGGAACCACACCGTTATTTAGGGACGAATTGAATAACTCAGCGAGAGGTGTGCATAGGGAATGAGCACACTGCTTGAGGATAAATGGTGTTATCTGATCGGCACCGGGAGATTTTCTGTGATTTAGTTCAAGTAACGTTCGGAGTACACATTTTGGAGTCACAATTACTTCATGTAGGGAGGTGGGCGGTGAGGGAGACATAAACGACATCCGGCTTATATATTCCTTCTGAGAGTAAACAGTGGAATAGCACTCGGCCAGTTCTTCAGCTGCAGCTGATGCAGTGTCCGTCAGTCCATTAGGGGTATGCAGAGGTGAAATACCCGGTTTCACAGACGCCTTATTATTAATGATCCAATAGAGAAGCTTCGGATTTTTTTTCCATTTTCTCTAAAAGCATTAGCTGGTAATCCTTTTTGTCGTTCACGACCAGCGTGTTGACTTTATTTCTTAGTAACCGATATTTTTCCGATGTTGTTGTTGTTCGGTGACGAACATTGGGGGTGCGATTCTTTTGACCAGTTGATTTTACCTATTGAATTATTTGTTCAAATCAAATTATCTTCTAATCAGATGATCACTTGTGGCCGGATAGGATCAACCATGAAATACACAGTTGAAATTCCTCAAAACTTTGATTTAACTGCCCTTAAACATCTAGACAGTCTAAAAGTAACCCGCGAAACAGAAAGACATCTATAGTGCTGGTAAATCAAATTAAACCGTGCAGCTGTAACACCCTGTTGGGGGCTAGCTGCTACTTCTGTAGGAAAAGTGAAGGTTCAAATACTGCCAGGTTGCTGAAGCCAAGAGTAGAGTGGTAGAAAAACCGTGGGTCAAGCTTGACTAGCTCTAATTTGTAGCTCACATCGTTCTGTCTGATCTACCAGGCTGTCAAGAGGTTTTTTATTGATGGGTGAATGACTTCTAGCTCAATGTACGTAATCAGATACAGAACTTCTTGTAGCGAGCTGCATAAAATGACTTGACGCTTTTGAAATGGACGGCTGAACTGTTGAGGTGCTACTGTCATCGCTTTGAAGTTTACTCAAACCGATCGGTATTGAAAGTTATACAAACCAGTGTATTCAGAGTTGACCAAGCAAGCAAGCAGAAGCTTTACATCTGAATCTTTGGAGGGGTTTTACCGCATTGAGTCGTATCTTATTTTCCAATCAACTTAATTTATGATGTAAAGTGTTATGAATTTCCTCTACCACAAGAAGGCCGATAATGAGTTGCTTCTTATCTGGTCGGTATTTGGTCAAGTGTCTACCGTTATCGTGTGTGCTGTCCACCGTAGCATCAGCTTAGGAAGAAGTAAGCAACCGAATTATTCAGCTATCATCTTGTGCCGAAAGAAATTACATGTGAAATTGAGAGTCTGAGGGAAGTGCAGTACTGCACTTATGAAAAAATCAGAGCTGCCGGGACCGTCGCAACATATTTTATTGATCTATTCAGTCCGTTATTGAATGGAAATAGATGGTATGCTGTTCCAGGTAACCTCTCCTGATAACGCATGTCGTTTGCGTTACAACAATTCCGGTATCAGCAAACTGATTGGTGTATGTATCATTCTCCTGCGATGTGAATATAGTGTTCATTTTCCGGCCTGCTCACCAATGACACGTAAGTTATCTGTGTACGTAATTTCTCAAGAAATTAACTCGGAAGGTACTGGTGGGTGAACACATTGCCACAGATTTGATCAGTTGACGCCGAGTGTCTGTTTGTCTATGCAAGGGGAACACCCGATTTATAGTGATGGTTTGCCACAAAACGATCGAAAAGTGGCTTAGTTCGTGTGCGCATGTGGTGGCTATTCAAGTTAAGTCACAATCATTTACCCCAACCAAGCATGAATTTTAGGTCTAGCATGTTTTCATTAATAAGCG